TTTTTTTTTTTTTTTTTTTTTTTTTTTTTTTTTTTTTTTTTTTTTTTTTTTTTTTTTGTATTTTTAGTGTATTTCAAAATTTCAACTGTGAATTCAATTTACCTGCATATGAAAACCCTAAATAAAAGCCCCCAAATTTTATCGAAATACTAATTTTGGCCACGAAACCTTGGGTGCTGGCCCACTGTGCATAGCTTTAAATTATCGAAGTAAGCATTAAATTTCGGTAGAGATAATATGATTTCAAACAAGTAACCCATTTAAAACCAGGTTGTGTAACCGAAATAAGGTAGGCTCTATATAACAACACAATGAACATTTAATGGCAATATCAAATTTTGAAATAGTTTATTTATTTTTCGGATCAATAAACATTACAGCATATTCTTTTAATTTGATTGAAATGAATACAATTAAAAGATTAATTTGATAAAAAAAATGAATGCTGAACTAAAGTAATTAAATTCTATATAAAATCATTGAGTTAATTGTGTGTTATTATTATTAATAAAATTACAAAAAACTTCCGTTTTATATAAATTTATATTTTTATCATGTGCAAATTCAATTCGGGCAAATAAGTGGCTAAAAATCTGTACAAACCGGGCAAATCATATCTTTTTAAATAAATGTTAATTTTCTAAAATCATTGAAATTGTATAGTTAAACATCAACCTTATTAATTATAAACTTTATATTATCCAGTATAATTTTATTACCTTGCACACATCCATTTTTGAGCCAATTCAAAGTAACTAACAAATCAAACGCGCTTCAGTGCTGCAGTAAGAATTCGTCATAAAACAAAACGCTTAATTTACGCTTCTAACTCCATTTGCGCTTCTGTTTTCCAGTTGGAAAAGGTGATTCCCACCAGGTGATTAAAAATGGGTCTGCTAAACGCCACTTTTTCCTGGAAAATGTACATCGTTTCCATTTTATTATTATTAATTTTAAACAAATATTGACCACTTTTGAGAATGTCCTTATGCTCTGGGGATTTATTATAAAATTTGTGTTCATTGTTTGCGTTCTTTCTTAGGTTTATTTTCCCTCTTAAACCTGGATATTGGACAGCGATGAAGAATTTCAAAATCATAACGAGAACATTGGAGAACGTTGTAAACGAACACAAATCCATGTTCAAAAAAGATGAGCATCCAAGCAATTTCATTGACGCTTTCCTCAAAGAGAGGAACGACAGGAATTGCAAAGGGGATCCAACAGCAAAATACTTCACCGGTAAGTATCACACTCTGTTTTTTGCACACGATGAATGCATGCGGTTTTTCCCTCCACACCAATCCATCATCATAAAGTTCTTGTTGTTACTCTTCTCCAAAACGGTCTATTTAAATTAGGTCAAGCCCATTAAAAATCTCTAAAAAGAAAAGAATTTCTGAAAAAATGGGTGCTCTGTTTAATAAGGTTTTTACTGTCCTCCTTAACGGGGAAGTACTAAAATAATGACATATTAAAAAACTAACTGTTTTTGATTCAATCGAACTGTGAAAGATGTTTTCTTATTATATGAAAAAAACTGCCGCTGCTGTCTTGGGTATTCAACTTTTGTTTTGCTGCACAAAGACAATTAGACTTTGAAATTTAAAATGATGAAGGTGTTCAGAAAAATGTATAGGCAGTGCTATGAAATAAAAGAAAACTGAAAACAAATTTCATTTGATAATTAGTTCGAGAATTATTAACTTTTAAATTTGTTGCGGATCGCTGTACAGACGGCTTAAATGCAACTACCGAGTTGATATTCGATTCGCTAAAAGCACCCTATTTGCTTATGAAATCAACTTGAGGTTTCGAAAATCGATTTGTTCAAAAGTTGAGTGAAAATTAAAAGTGTTATTTAAAAGTTAAGTTAGTTAAAATGTTAGTTAAAGTTATAATTAAGTGAAAGTTAAAATTAAGTGAGAGCTAAGTTTAAATGATTTTATTTTTGCAATTTTTTTTTTCTTTGCATTTTATTTTGCTTTAATGAGAAAAAAATTTAAAACTTGAAAATCTGAAATTACGATAGGACGTAGTAAAGTGTATTAGGATTACAGAAGACCAAGAAAGTTAAACAGTTCGAAAATTACTTACTATTAAACTCGTAGTAAAAAATACGGTCTGTCTGGCGTTCCTCGAAAATGAAACTAAATCTAAGCGAGGTATCCTTTTTTTAACGTCCCTCCCGAACGAAATCATCCAAACTTCGGAACGATTTTTAGGACTGAAAGCAAAAATTACTCCCTTAACTATTTATCTAAATTTCACTAACGGTTCTAGAGTTTCAAGAGAGACTTTTTGATTTTTATTTAACTGTAAGATGTTTACATAGTTGCTTCAAAGATGTCAACGCGCCACTGATGTGTGTGATAAATTGACATAGCATGTTGATTTTCATTTAATTTTGATATTTTTTTCCCCAAAGTAATGTTATGAAAAGAAATGTTCGAGGTTAAAAAATTCAATTTTCTTGACGTAAAAATTATTAAAAAATAAAAATATTACTGTTTTTTTTTCTGTTTTAAATGGCAATACAACTATTACTATTCACTTTATACCTATTACTTAACAACTATTTAATGACAGAAAATTAATTTGTATTCTTAGAAAAAATTGTTTGATCGCTTTTATTTCCCAACTCCTTTTTTAAAACATTAATCGATGTCTATTGTTGGTACTCATTTTTGCACAGCTTTTTGCTTTGTTTACTCTCAGTAAATGAAGCACACAAATATGGACTGAAAATAGATTTTATTTTTAAGTCTCGTATTAATAGTACTTACAATGCGACATTTCGTCACATTTTCTCATTATACTCTGAGTATTTTCACAACTCGCTACACGAGGGCGCTACTAAAATAGCTCTTATGATTAGGTACGGAACAATTACGATGCTATCCAGTATGCAATATTTTGTTAGGCAAAATCACTATTTCTCATCGCCATTTCTATAAACATATAAATATAGTGATCATTTTAGAATACTTTTATCGTCAATTTTTTTTTATGCACAATGAATAATCTCAAATGATATGCTTATAATATTTTCAGATAAGGCTTTGATTGGTACCCTGATTCAGTTTGTGAGTGACGGAGTCCTTAGCGTAGCTCTGTTCATTGCAATTTTCATGAAACATGTAGTGGACCACCAGGACCATCAAGATAAAATCTATGCTGAAATAGTGGAGGTCGTGGGAAGGGGAAGAGCTCCGACTATTGAAGATAAAAGTAAACTCTCATATACTACAGCCTACATGCACGAAATAATGCGCACTTTTGAATTCTTCTCTGTCATTCCCGGCCAGAAATGTATCAGTAAGTGCTTCAAGATATTTCTCTAAAATAGATGTTTTAAAAGTTCCAAAAAAATTTCCCAATAATTCACATTCTCCTGGTGTTGACCAATAATTCTAAATATGTAAATATTTAGAAATAAGTTGAAGAATTCCTGAAAGAAAAAAATATAAGCGAAGTCAAGTTCTTAAGTTGTTCAAAACTCTTATTAAAAGTGCATTATTTAACGCTCTTATACCTTAGAATAAATGTTTTGATATTATGCTACTACATATTTTAAACTTACAACACTTTCTCAGTCATTCCTCATCAAAAATTCAAACAAAATTTTACTTAGTTTATTTGTTATTAAGAAGTGAATTCTAATTGTAGTAGTTCTTCCGTGATTTTATCATGCTGTATTATAAATGTAGTCAGATATCGAATTAAGATATTCAGAGCTCATATTTCAAATACACGGTAAACATATATGCAATTTCGTAAGAAGTTCTGCAGCAAAGCTAAATATATGTCACATAACTGAAGGGATTATTTTATAACAATATGATATATAATTTTATCGATACAGTTTTTTTTTCTTTTGTGAAAAAAAGCGCCTACACTCTAAGAAATATCCGTACAATTTGAAGAGTTGACTGTTTGTTTATAAGACAAGCTTCTATTTTTGCTAAAGAACTAAAGCAAAATTAGTAGAGATATATTAAACTTCCAGCTTCCATCTTTGACAAAAGGAAGAAAAAAAACTGTGCCCTTAATTGCAACGAACTTCAATAGAGTTGACCTATAAATTATACGGTTGTTATGCGTAGGTTTTTAATTTAATTCGAAAGTGTGCATCCTTTTCCATGGTGGTGGTTGCAGCATTAGTTTACTGACGTAAAAGTCCCGGGCTCGAACCCAGCCGTTGCCAAATAACATCTATCTCGTTGCCCCCTTTTGTGACCACGGATAACGAACAAGCAACTCTCTTACTCTTCGACAGATGGCAGCACTTCACTATTTTGTCTCTCTCCACTGTTTTCCTCGTTTCGACAAACAAATTACCTGAGTATCAAACAACGTTAAGTCCCGAACTCATAATTTTTACGAGCATTACGTCAACTTACGGTCATTAGCCATTATGAGAAAACATTTACTGGCAGACCTGTAACTTGTATGGCTTTACGCATAATTTATTTTTAAGTTTTATGTCTTGAACATATTTTACCGATACCTGGCCGTAATCCAGCAGTAAAAAATGGGCAGCTCCAAAATGAGTGTGAGATTTCGTCATAATGTTGCGAGCAGTAATGATTTGGGACATAGTTTCTTATGATGCATTTATTGCACCATTTTCACAATAGTGTTTATTTTAAAGCTTTCTGTTTCCAGAGGAGACAGTCATCAGGGGATACAGGATTCCCAAAGGTGCAATAACTCTTCTGAACATGTGGACCTGCCATAATGATCCAGAGATTTACCCAGAACCTGATAAGTTCAATCCATCCCGATTCATGTGTGAAGAGAAGAGCAAGAGACCCGATCTACCCATCACTTTTGGTGTCGGTAAGTGCTCTCATTCAATGTACGAGATTCGCTTATAACCGATACCAAAGAGATGCATGTATTTCCGAATTTTACTGTCAGCAAGCAATGTAAAAGTCGTATTACGCCTTTCAGTAGAGACTGTTCGGTTGATAGTTTATGAAATCGGTCTAAAATCTGATATAGTTCTGAAACGAATGCTTTGAAGTCATAATCCCAAGGATTTGATTCTTACCATCGATTCATCACATCTTTGTTGATATTTAAAACGACTCTATACCGAGCAAGAAATTCCGTTTCAACTCTATTGGTATTTAAAAGTTCAGGTAATTCTAAGTAATCCTATCACAATTTGTTTATATTTTTGATTTTTTTTCATCATTTGAAACTTTGTGGTTTACTTTAAGTTTCTCAAACTCCCTTTTCTCTGAATATTAAATTTACAATATTTATATTATATTTATATAATATTGAAACAGAACATATGAGCCACATTCCTTGTTGAAGAAGTTTGCTCACCTTTTAAAGAACATCTTTAAGGGCAGGAAGCGTATTATCAAAATGCACCATAAGATGAAGGAAAAACATTCCATGCCTATTGAGGATCATTTAAAGGTATGAATGGGTCAGCAGGGAGTGAATGATCCAACAAAATATGTTGATGTATAAATTCCTATCTTGTGAAAGGGGTACGAGTTATTTGATGGGTTAGACTTCTTTTGCAATAACCCTGGGAGTTTTCGTGGTTTTTTCCTCCATGTAACGCAAAACAGATTAGTTACGTCAAAAAGTCCTCGATGAAGGCTCATTTCTCCTGATTTTTGATTTAGGAGTTCTCTCTTCCTCTGGATCGGGTTCAAAATTACAAGGCTGCGAAGGTGAGCATTAATATACGTAAATTCAGAAATTGGTCAGTTGTTCAACACCGGTCAAAAAATAAAATAAAACGAAATGAAAGCAAACGAAACAATTCTTAAAATGCTTATTTAAATTCATTTAGGGAAGCTATAAATGGAGGCGCATTCGTTGAAAATTATAATGTTTTTCTGCACGTGGAAGAAAATTTTACAATTCCGTATATCCAAATAACTTACAATTTCGCAATTTAATTGGATTGGAATAAAGACACGTTATCGTCTACTATCTATACCCAGGGGTGAACGGAAAAGAGAAAAAAGTGGTAATAAATCAATTTCAGTTATAGCTATTTTGGGAGGAGTAAATCTGTTTATTTCTCCAAACCATTCAACAATAGTATTAACTTTTTCTCGTGAAAGAATAATTTTATATATATATATATATATATATATATATGCAGCGGCTGCTGNTATATATATGATGCTATAATTGTAAAATGTATATTGTAGGTACAGAAATTTTATTTTTATCGGAAAAAAATGTTAGAATAAAATGTTTTTCGTACCAGTTTTTGCTTTTTTCTGTCTGTAGCTAGTGATACATTCTACAGAACAAAATCTGGAAATTTTGCTACTACTAAATTTCGCTACTAAAACCGTTTTTTAAATAAGAAATTTAAAAGATTTAAATAAAAGAGATAGTAGAAATTTTTTCTCGAAGTAATTCTTTAAATATTGTAAACATCACAAGGTTCATTTCTAAGATAAAGAAAACTTTTCAGAAACAAGAGTGCGAAATAAGGAAATTTTCGGAATAGTATGAAATGTTCAGAATAAATTCGTATTTATTTTTTAAAAAATAATAATACAATGCATATGGGATGCGGTTTCTACGAAAAGTCCAGTGATTGGTAAGCGACAATTTTTTAATCGCCATTTGTTATATTTAGTCGCCCTGCAGTCCATGGCAACCGTTAGTTATGCCCTATATTGCGTTCCACTTAACCAACGTTATGAATTCAAATTCTATGTGTAGTCTTACTTCAAATAATTTGAAAGAAAAAATGAACAACTTATCCACATTTTAATTGATTTTTACTTCAAATTAATGTGATTAACGTTCAAAAATTCAAGTTTTGTCTAACTTAAAGATGCTCTTATTTCTTAGGCAGGCGAACGTGTATTGGAGAAGGTTATACGATGTCTCAGATATTTCTTTTCCTCACTACAATCATCCAGAATTTTAAACTAACCTACCCTGAAGGTTCAGAAATAGGAAATTATGAGTTTCTTTTGAGTGGAAAATTGAATATTTGTGCCATCCCAAGAAACGAAGAGAATTGGGGGGAAAAAATGCTTCATTGTGTTAAAGAAAAACAAGTGATTGTTTTGAAAAAATAACTTCCTTCTAAGCTTATCAATATAAACAATATATATAAACAAAAAAAAGCTTGTATATTTATGTTTGTATTATTATACATGTTCTGATCTGTATTCAAAATAAACTATTAAAGAAATTTTATAAAAATTAGATGATTTTATATTAGATAAAATAAGACCCCTATTTGTAATGTTTTGCCACGTTTTTCTTAATCCATTCACAGCAAAAACTATGATGCAATATCTCTCCGATTATCATATTGAACAACCCAAAAAATGTAAGAGGGAACATTCCATTCCAGATTAACACCTATTCGATCATTATTATACAATTTAAAGGGCATAATTTAAAATTAAACACTTAAAATGGAATAATCTTTAACCCAAATCTCATGCTTTCACACCATACTAGAACTATTTTCTCTTCCGAAATCACCAATGTGGGCGCGTTTTGAGTATCAAAAATTCGAGAAACGCAGTTTGTTAACACTCTGGAATAAGCTGACGAGAGTTAATTGTTATTTTTAACGCTATTATTCATCAACAGAAACAAAAATTCATCGTTAAAATATGTGTGCATGTCTGTAGCTACGTAATAAGAATAATTATATTTTATTTTTTTAAATATCTGTGAACTGTATTAACTATTCCACTTCTTTTCTGTTTAGCTTAGTTTGAATTCGTCTTAAGATTCTCTGTGTTAAGCGTATAATTTGATGCAGAAATATATTTTGTATTTTAAATTTCTGTTAGGAATAGTTTGAATTCGTCTTAAGCTTCTCCCCTACAGATTCTTCCACATAGTGAAAAAAATAGCTCTTTGAAAAAGTATTAATTTAAGTATTATATTAAAATCTTAAGCAGATTGTAATTAAATAGTTAAAATCATAATACAGTTAAACCTATCTCCGCTCCACAGTGAAATGGTCGCTTATGAAGGTTGATCGTTTTCAGAGGTTAACCCCATCGAAGGATTTTTCACAAACAATTATAATTTTAATCATTTTCTTGGTGCAGAAATGTTACATCTGTTGGTATCATGAAAAGACGACGATGAAGAAAATTTAGCGTCTATAAAAAGGGTCATAACTGATATGTAAGAACAAATTTACCAATCATAAATGATAAAGCTATTTTAAATAAATAAACAATTATGTTGTTTGTTTAGGTTTGCATTTAAATTTAAGTTATAAAAATTAGTTACCTTTAAAAGATCAGAAAACCTTTGTTTGAGATGCTTGTTTTTTGAAAAATAACCTATTTCTTCCTAATTTAAATTTCAATTCTAGAAGTAAATCATTGATAACAACGTCTTTAGTGCTCTCTGTCTGCAGCATGACCTTAAATCGTCAAAAAGAGATCTCTAAATAAGAGCCTCGCACAAATATTTTGAACACATTTTAATCTACTTATTTGTTTTGTTTCGATATTTTTTCGTGTTTCCTTATTTGACCTTTTCCGTATTTGGTGCAGATGTTTGCCCGGTCGGTGGGAGAGGTTTTGATCGTCTCTCTTAAAAGTCTTTTTCAACACAAAGTTTATGGAAAAAATTCCGTGACCACCAAAAGTGGTCATAAATAGGTCGTTGCATAGAGATAGTCTTTCCTGGAGGTTTCACTGTATTATTTGCCAAGTCAGTTCATAAATATTTTTTAAATAAAGTAAGAGTAAAAAGCGCGAAAATTGGGAATAAAAATTAATGCAATGAATATGTTATGAAATTTTAGAAAATATAGTTTCTTTGAATATTTTACATTAAAAAAATTAGTACACTGTTATTCCAAAATTCTAATGAACTTTTTAAACATCATAATACAATAATGTACAGTATTATATTATAAAACCTATGTTGTATTCAACATTACTTCGCACGCAGGTCGTTGGGCTACCGAAGTGGGGGTGCCATCCCCTCTGCAGAGGATCAAGATTGTGATGGCATGTCTTCGGATCATCCTCAGGGATGTTTCCCAGACCGTCGCCAATAGCCCATTGTGCAGCTCTAGTGCGACGTAAATGAACTACAACAACAATATTCTCCATTATAAATATTTTCCCAATGAAATTATGAATACACAAAACAATTTTTAGATAGTATGCTAAAATTATTGATCAATTGATATTTTTAATTNAAATATTTTTTAAATAAATGAGAATAAAAAAAGCGAAAATTGGGAATAAAAATTTAGTTTCTTTCAATATTTTACATTGAAAAAATTAGTACACTGTTATTTCAAAATTCTAATGAACTTTTAAAACATCATATTAAAATAATATATAGTATTATATAATAAAACCTACGTTGTATTATCCATTATAAATATTTTCCCAATGAAATTATGAATACACAAAACAATTTTTAGATAGTATGCTAAAATTATTGATCAATTGATATTTTTAATTCAGAATTCAGATTTTCTTACCTAATCATAAAACAAGCTAATTATTATTCGAAAAATAAACCTGTAGCAACCACAGCGCCATCTGAACCGGCAGTAGATGCTCAGACTTTGGACAGAATGGACCTTCCTTTCCTCCTTCTCGTAATTATTCAAATTTATGTTTGTCTGTGTGCTATTGGTTATTAATAAAAATATATGGCACTAAGCTTTTCTTTATTTAAACCCTCGATACCTACCCAGGGTCACAAACCTAAGAATTTTTATTTGCAAATGTTTTTTATGAGATTACTGAATTTTCCATTTCAAACCAATGATCAGTTACGTCAAGTTTTATAAAACAAAACTACTTTTAAAATTCAAATTGTAGTAACTGACAATGTAGTTATGAACATTTTAAAATGTATTTTCAATTATAGGCCATTCATTTTAAATAAAACTTGTAAGTTTTCAAATACAAATGTTATAGCAAAGGTTTTTTTTCCCCTTACATTACAGTATTTTTGATTTATTGATATTATAGGGTGATAAGTTAGTTCTTGTTTTTTCATTGTTAAATATTAGTTTTTTAACAAGATAATTAAAAACAAGCTTACCATCTAAAATTTTCAAAAAATACATTAGTATTAAAAAAAATTGCGATGAAAATTTAACTCATTAAAAAAATTAGCAAAGTCCGAAGACTCCCCGTTTAGTAAATGGGGACTGGTCACAAAGTCCTCCATGTTCCCATAGCAAATTATACCTCTGGGTGTACTAAGGTAGTGAGTTCTCTTTCTCAGGTGAAAATTACGATCTGTGGATGGATGTACGAATGGGTCCGTCCTATTAACGGGAGTGGCATAAATCGAATTCTTGGCTATAGATGGCGCCACTGGGAAACGAGAAGAAACAAATGTTCCGGTTGGGTGATCAGCTTTACACAGAGCCCAATTAATTAGTCTCCAAACATAATGGGTGCATATTTTATGTACCCACTGTAGGGAGGAAAGTATGAGATTATCCTTAGAGGAGTAATTTACATAGAGAGAACCAGTCCCCCATCCCTAGTCGCCACGTGATTCCTGGACGATTTTCCCTCCAGTAAATCCTATCCCCAGTCTTTTACTATGGAGGTGGATTGATGAGCTGTGTTTTGAACTATAAAATTATAAAAAAAATGGTTGTATACTGCTGTGCATACGGGTGTAACAAAAAAGTCAAGAACTATCAATGTTTCAAACAGGTAGATAGTATGTTCTTATGTGGAATTTTTTTTAAAATAAAATAAAGTGACAAATAACAAAACCAAAATTTGTTATTTTAATTTAAATTCTCTCATCATGTTAACTCACTAAAATTTTAATTGTATGCATTGGTTGAAATAAATTATTATCTCATGGCAGGCAAACTAGAATCCCAAATAGTGCAGCATGTAGAAATATTAATATTTATTTTAAAAATGAAACAAAATATTTTGTTTTTATCAGAAAAATTATGAATAACACTAAAACGATAAAAAAGTTATGCAAGAGATGAATTGTATACCAGTGTGTATATATATATACCGGACAAAAAAATTAGTCACCCTAGTGCGCAAGCAGCGATGAATCGTTAGGTTTCGTTAGATGACGCAGTGGTCAAGTGACGTGCTCAACTGCGTGCACATTGCTTCAACGTGTTCACAGGCAAGTACTATCAGTGATATATTTTTGTTTGAAGCTGAAATTGTGTGTAAATATGGATAAGTGTAAAGATGAGTTAGAGTGGCAAAAAGAGGCAATTGTGTTAGGCCGTGCTCAGGGTCATACGGTGAATGACGTTGCTGGATTTGTTGGTGTTTCGATGCGGTCTGTTCAACGTGTCTACAAGCAGTGGTGTAATACACTCGATCACGAAAGACGACGTCACAATTGTGGTCGGAAAAAGATCCTGCATGAAAAGGACCGGAGACGTGTTTCCAGTGGCGTAGTGAGGGGTGGGCAAGGGGGGTCATCATGCCCCGGGCGCTACTCACAAAGGGGCGCCAAATGGTCCGCAAAACAAAAAAATTGTAGGATAATTTTTATTATAATTGATTTCTGGAAAATATATTTTAAATTTAGTGCCAGTGTAATATAATAAATGCTAATTCGTAAATAAAAAGGAACACTAATAGTCTAAATAAAAGTGTAATAATATATTCATAATGGAAATGGCACGTCTTTTCTACTGGCAGGACTGACTCGACCTGTGTCTGTCTGCACTTCCTTATAGCATCTACGCTGTGTGGTTACATAAATTATCTCCTCCTTTCTTGATTTGTCTGATGAAATAATATGTCATAATGAATATTTGCTGTGTACAAAGTACAAACATTCTTTCTTTCAGAACACTAATTATTTTTATTTCTATAAACGCTATGTAGCTTACGCTTGTTATTTTAAAACGATAACAACAACACTCTTATGTACTTATATGTACAGTCACTGAAAAAAATATCCCGAAAATAACAACTGAAGGATCGTCTATTTTTTAATATAGATACTTCTCAGGCACAGAACAAATACAGCGTTTTGTCGTTTCTAGGAAAG